CCACCAGCTCAGCTCAGCTCAATTCAACTGCTGCTGTTCTGTACTAACTTTCTATAAGATCGTTTTCCCCCATTCCACATATGTGTGAGTCTTATTTCACTTAACATAATGATCTCCAGTTCCAAGCATGTTGCTGCAAATGACAGGATTCTAGTTTTACAGTGTCTGAAGTTTTCCACTCTATAAATGTACCGCATTTTCTTTGTCCATTCTTAAGTTGATGGACACTTAGGGCCCCTCTCTTGGTTCTTGTGTATAATGACCATAGGAGTCCAGATTCTTATTGACATATCTTTCATTCCCCCAGAGGAGGGATTCCTGGATTGGAGATGGAAGTTCTTTGTAACTTTTAAAGAAAGAATTAAAATGTTTTCCAGACAGGAACAATGATGCAGCCCTTGGGATGCTGAAGCAGGAGAATTGTCAAGAGTTGAAGGGCCTTCCTGAGCTACATAGTGAATTCTAGGCCAGTCTGGGCTACATAACAAGTGAAAGATGCTGTCCATAATGTCTAAACTGATTTACCTTCCCACCAACAGTGTATAAAAGTGCTTTCACCAGAAGTTGCAGGTAATGCAGTTGTATTAGTCATTTTTCTGTTGCTGTGATAGAAACACTGACCCAAGCAATTTATAGAAGGAAGAATTTATTTGGGCTTACGGTTCCAGGGGAATTATGGTCCATCTTGGTGGGGAGGCATGGTGGCAGAGGTGGCTGGAGAAGAGGAGCGGAAGCTAAGCTCTACAGCTTCCAGCAGACACAAGAAACAAGAGAGCAACTGGGGATCCGGCAAGGTTTAAGAATTCTCTAAGCCCACCCCAGTGACGTGCTTCCTCCAAGATAGCCACGCCTTCTAAAACCTCCCAAAACAGCGCCATCATCTGGGGATAAAATGTCCAAATACTTGGAGCCTATGGGGGACATTTTCATTCAAACCACCACAGCAGTGGCATCTCACTTGTTTTGATTTCCATTTGTCTGCTAATGGTACTGAGCACTAGTTTATGTGTTGGCCATTTGCATATCATTTTTGGAGAAATCTTTGCTTAGGTCCTTTGCCTCAGCTCTTTGAAGTTGGTGGCAGGGGGAGATTGTGTCAGAGGCATAAGAAACAATCATCCAGGGCTGGAGAGCTGACTCAGCAGTTAAGAACACTTGCTGTGCTTCTAGAATACCCAAGTTCGATTTCCAGCACCCTCATTGGGTTGCTAACAACTGCCTATAATTCCAGCTCCAGGGGATCTGACACCTTCTTCTGACCCATACACATGGCATGCAATACATATGAATAAGTAAAAATAATAAGTCTTTAAAAAATTATTCAGAGTGCCTCCACGTTTAGCCCCACCAATGGGGCCCAATTCAACTGCTACTTTTCTATATTCACTTTCTATAAGATCATTTTTCCCACATTCCACATATGTGTGAAAACAGTGTCTGTGATATACTTATTTTGCTGGCCATATTTAATATTCTAAAAATATTTCTAGATAAGATTTGACTTTCTTTTATCTCATGCAAATAGATATGTCCATTTTAGCATTAACCTGCACAAATCTCCAAGCTTAGTTTTGAATTTCTTGATACAACTAACACATTTTGAATTTCGATTACTTTCATTATCCATTGACTGGATTTTAATTTTTTGATTCATTTACTTTTATTTTATGTGTATGAGTGTTTTGCCTTCATGTATGTAGATGTACCCATACATGCGATGCTTGTGGAGACCGAAGAGGGCACTGGATCTCATTCAACACTCAGCTGGACTAACAGACAACTGAGAGCCACCATATGGGTTCTGGGAACCAAACTCAGGTCCTCTGGAAGAGTACCAAGTGCCCTTAACCACTGAGCCATCTCTCTAGCCCATTTTAATTTGTTTCAATGGTAACTCTTAAAATTATAGCTGTCTCAAACATTGTTTGGAAGCATGTAGGATAAAACTAAAACTGTTATTAACAAGATAGGCAAGGCTTCTCTTTCAGGATTTGGGCTCAAGCTGACAAACTCCTGCTGGAGTTAAAGGGACACAGTGATGATGGAAAGGGAGTCAGGCTGTGGCTTGCAGGCAGCACTTCTTGCTGAGAAACCATATAGGCTATGGAAACATGGTCTTTGGTTTGTACTTTTGACAGGTACCTGCTACTCATGGGACTTTGAGCTCCTTATGTTAAATCTTGTATCTGGAAAATGGGAGTAAGAATTATACTGTAATGGTACTCATAAGCTGCTATGCATAGTGCCCAGCACACAGTAAATACTAAAAGATCAGCTGTGTGCAGGGGTCCCACCTTATGGTGGCGGGGGGTGGGGGCAAGGGGGAGCTTGCTCTGGGAAGGTGAGATCTGCGGCAGCAGAGTCTGAATCCAGGACTTGAGTCTCTCACTACAAGTCAACTTTAATGAAGAACTAGGTATGTTTTTATACAAGAAAAAGAACTGGCAGTCATGTGGAGTTTGGCAGTTACATACAAAGATTTAGGGCACAATTAGACAAAAAACAGGACATAGAACTTTTAGCTAGCAACAGCTAAGAGCTGTTTGTAAAGTAGGATGCTTGAACTTTTACTCAGGGTTACCAGTGCCTATCTGTTAACTTATTGGTCACAGTGTTTTCTTTCTTAAAACAAAAAGTATAGTAAACTTTTAACATGGCCCAATCTTTTTGCTAGGAAGAGCTGAGAGTTACTTATCTAAGGGCTGTTGGCTAAGCTGTTTTCTCTCAACATAAGGAGCTTAAACTTTTGACCTGGTCAGTTTTCTCCTGCTAGCCATGCAGTGTTCTACATGACAGGGATCTGAGGGTACTGTGTTCAGTGCCCCTCCCTTCAGCAGAGATTGTGGCCTTATTCTAAAAGTTTCAGGTCCATCTCGCCTTAAGGCATGCCATCCTGGTTTCTTACAGCTGTGCTCTTCTGCTTTTCTGGACCTCTCAGCTGAAGGTAATACTGGATAATGTGGTTTTACGGTGTGGACATAGTAGAAGTGGGACCAAACCATGTTACAAACAAGGCAGGCAGGGCTCCTCTATTGATCCTGTGCTGGCAGACTTCTGCTGGAGCTGAAGGGACATGGTGGTGATAGAGAGAGCTTAGGCTGTGATGTAATGAACAAAAGGCAGCTGCCCACTTTCTTTAATTTTCTGGGATGGGCTAAAGTTTATTCATTGTCCATTAGTCATGGACACATAAGACGGTTTCCTTCCTGTGCACAAGCATTCTCATTCTGGCCTTGAGGCTTGCAGGTTGCTGGTCTGTGACTTGACCCAGGGACTGCTCAGTTGCACGTCATCTGGCATGAATATCCTGGTCTATGGCTTGGTTTTGGCTGAGGGATTGTTGATGCTTAAGCTGCTGCTTGAGTTGGGATAGAAAAAAACACATATCTACTCCAGTGGGCAGAAGGTCAAGTTAACTCTGTACTATAGACTTAACAAAACATTTTAAAGGATCAACATGTCTACACAGAGAGCTGCGTAGAATCTGACCCAAGAGTTGAGACAGCAGAGGGGACAGACACAGTATGACGACAGACACGCCAAGCCTTTCATCCCATTTTAGTCATTGTCAGAAATCCATAGGCTCCAGTGAAGAAGAATCAGTGTTTTTAGTAAAAGTGGTCTCTGACTTCTGCAAAGTAATGCAGACAGCTGTTATAATTCTTATGTTAGGAGTTATCTGCAGTGAAGGTGGAGTGAACTAATTATGTATTGCTCCACGGGGTGATTTTTAGTTAGATAAGCAACTGAAGCTAGAGGGTTTATTTAGACTCTTCCTCAATAATAGTTGCCTCATGCCTTTGTCATTTGTGTGATGACCTCGAACCCTGCTAGTGTCAGCTTGATCTCAGTTCTCCGGGCTCAACATTCCAGCCTTGTGGCCTAACCTGCTGTTTTATGATGAAGGCATTAAAGGCATCCTGTGAACTGGTAACAAGTTAAAGGGCCACAATTTGCCTCTGTCACTTGTGGATAATACCATATTCTCTCAACTTGCCAAGAAAGGGAGATTCTGAAAGACTAGTTAAAAATCAGCCCTAGTAGGAAAGGTCAGATTTATTCATATACACAAAATGGTGCTACTAGGGGTTGTGTACATGGTTGTAATTATAAGAGGACTCACAGAACTGCATTCATTTATCCAGAGCAGGTACACATTTCCTTCCTGTGCTTCACTCAAGAATCCCAGCTTATTTCAGAGCCTGTGTTTTAGGCAGGTTTTCCTCCTGGCTGATGGTATCTGAAGGGAATGGTCAAGGTACGAAATGTGGCTATGATTCAACTGACAGTCTTCAGTCAGTCTCCCTCTGAAAATATGCTTGAAATCGTCTTAACTATATTCGATCTACTATATAAGTTTTAAAAGCCACAGAGTAGCGGAGCCTGACTTTGCCCTGCTCTTACATGTGCGGTGTCTCTGGATGCGTCTGAGCTCTGCTGACAAATGGGAGGTGCTGGCTTAGCCCTGCTTTCCTGGATGATCTGTTTTCCTCTTTTTCTTTGTTGTATCCTTTCCCCCAGACCTTTTCTGATCTAAGGTCATATTATTGGCTAGTATTTTGCCCTACCTACCTTATACTTTATATTCTCTCCCTTTGAGGATGTAAAGGTGGCATTAGTTAGCAGCTTGGACCAGTGTGCTTGGTAACTTCTGCTAACTGCATGATTACTGCACTCAAAACTAGTTTTGGGGGTTCTTAAGTCCATCAATTTGAAACTGGACTAGATGTCAAATACCTTTTTTTTAATTTTGGGGTTTTAAAAAAAATTTATTATTTTTATTTTATGTGTATATGTGTATTGCCTGCATGTAGGTAAGTACACCCATGTTCTGCAGTGCCCACAGAGGTCAGAAGAGGCTGTCAGGTCCCTTGGGACTGGAGTTATGGACAGTTGTTAGCTGCCACGTGGGTGCTGGGATTCAAACCCAAGTCTTCTGCAAGAGCAACCAGTGTTCTTAACCACTGAGCCATCTCTCCAGCCCGTTTTGTTTTGTTTTTTAAAATGTGGAATGTTTCATGAATTTGCGTGTCATCTTTGTGCAGGGCCATGCTAATCTTCTGTGTATGGTTCCAATTTTAGTATCTGTGCTGTTAAAACAAGCATGTCAAATAGTTTTCATTTTAACTATTTCAGGTAGTATTAAAAAGAAACAAAACTTTCTTATTTCTACTCTAACATAGAAGTGGATTTTGCACTGGCCTTGAGAGATGGCTCAGCAGTTAAGAACACTGGCTGTTCTTGCAGAAGACTCAAGTTCGAATCCAAGCACCCACATGGCAGCTAACAACTGTCCGTAACTCCAGTTCCAGGGGATCCAACAGCCTCTTTTGTCCTCTGTGGGCATTGCACGACACGGGTGCGCTTACCTATATGCAGGCAATACATGCATACACATAAAATAAAAAATAATAAAACTATTTTTTAAAAAAAGAAACACAACTTTCTTATTGAAATCATAGTAAAAATATGTTACTCTAACATAGAAGTGGATTTTGCACTGACTTTGTTTGTTCTTAAGTTTTTGTTTTTAATTGGGAGATGTTAGTTGACATATCTTTGCCACAGCAGTTTTTTCTTTATTTTTTTTCTTTATGTGTACGTATGTATATGCCATGTGGGTACAGGTATCCATAGAGTCCAGAAGAGGGTGTTGGATCCCCTGTCGCTGTAGTTTCAGGTGGTTGTGAGCCACACAATGTGGGCACTTGGAATGAAACTTGGGTCCTCTGCAAGAGAACATTGGATTTCTCTGGAACTGGCAAGTGAGTGCTAGAATCTAACGCAGGTCCTCTGCAAGAGCAGCTCATGCTCTTAACCACTGAGCCATCTCTCCAACCCCAAGACTATTTTCTCATATTGCTCATGACCACTCTTTTGTTGTGGATGTTTTCTCCAAAAGCTTTTACCTCCTAGGAGAAAAATCTTGGGTTTTTGTAATTGTTGTTGTTAAGAATATAAACTAAAGTGGGCAAGATGACTCAACATGTAAAGGCACCTGTTACCAAGCCTGATGACCTGAGTTCAATGATCCCTGGAACCCCCATGGTAGGAGAGAACTGAATCCTTCAAATTGTCCCCTGACCACCACAAGTGTGTGCATGCATGTATGCACATATGGGCATTCATACAACTAAATAAACAAATAAATAAATAGACAAATAAATAAAAAATTTAAAGAATATGACCAACAGTACTTATACAAGCATGCAGTCATTGGGCCAGATATAGATAATTTTAAATATATTTGTAATAATTTTTTCTATGAATGAAGTGAGTTCTTTTAGTTAAAAAAAACCAAAGTCAGGGATATTTCTGACAAGTATATGAAAGAGCATAGCTTCTAAAGTGGGAACCATATGTCCTGCTTTGCTCTCTGTTGCTGTGGTAAATAGTATGTCCAAAAGCAACTTGGGGAGGAAAGGGTTTATTTCATCTTACAGGTCACAGCCCATCACTGAGGGAAGCCAAGACAGGAACTCAAGGCAGAAACCTGGAGTCAGGAACTAAAGCAGAGACTATTGAGGAATGCTGCTTACTGGCTTGCTTCCTCTGGCTGGCTCAGCTACTTTTATACAGCCCAAGCCCATCTATTCAGGAATGGAACTGCCCACAGTGAGCTGAGCCCTCCAATATCTATAGCAGTCAAGAAAATTAGGACTGGAGAAATGGCTCCATGGTTAAGAGCACTGACTGTTCAATTCTCGGCACCCATATGGTAGCTAGCAACCATCCATAACTCCAGTTCCAGGGGAATGCAATGCCCTCTTCTGATCTCCGTGGGTGTTGTACAGTACAGGTGTATTTACATACATGCAGGCAATACACTCACACACAGAAAATAAGAATTTTAAAATTTTAATTTATATATAAAAAAAAATATATATATATGGAAAATGCACCACATAAATGGCCACAGGTCAGTCTGATAGAGGAAATTCCTCAGTTGAGATTTCTTCTTCCCAGGTATGTCCAGATTTGTATCAAACAGCGTCTATCTTGTTTAGTTTGTGGAGTAAGGAAATTCTTAATGCCTCTGTAACAAATTACCAAAAACTCATGATTTAAAACAACAACACTTCATGGTTTTAAAGGCTGGAGTCTGCTATCAGCTTCCCTGGTGCTAAAATCAAGTTTGCCCTGGGTTCTCTGGGGCCTGGTTTCTTAGGGTCCCAACCCCATTTGGGTTGTGCATCTCTACATGAGGGCTATAAAAAAAATCTGACAGCAGTGAAAGGTCTCTGAACACACAACAACCAAAACAACCAAAACTTAATTCAGAAGAAAACACATAATCAATCCAAGGCGTTTCTGGACACTTGACCATATACATGGCAGCTTCAGAGAAGCCTTGGTTCTGACGCACCTTGTTCTGTTGGCCTGTGCACGCTGTCACACTGCATCCACAAACACTGCCTCAAACACATCAGCCCAGACTCAAGACCATTGTGTGTTATGAATGGCGGTGTTTGGCTTTTACTCTACATACTGAGTTTTCTACTATAGAAACACAGTAGCTTAATTACAGAAAACAAAGGCTTTTAGGATTTTCCTCTCATCATTCCTTAGCATAGAGATATCAGATTAATGCACTCTTGGATTATGTTACAGTTTTAAAAACTTCTGGTTGCGTTACTGGCCTGAGTTTCAAAAGAAATTGTTCAATGAATGTTTTCTTCTGATTAGGACAGAATTTCCAACAGTTTTTAAAATAGCCTTTAATATATTTCTATCATTTTGTGCTACATATTCAAGTGAAATAATGTTCTCAGTAATGATAATTATAAAAGTAAAGTGTTGATCAACTCTAAAAAACATTGGAGATGTTCTATACCCTGTAGTATCAAATACTCAGCTGAGGTTTAACATTTAAAAACTTTTTATTTATTCTTTGAAATTTTCATACATGTATACAATGTGTTTTGATCATACCCACTGCCCGCAACCTTCCGTCTCCCTCCCAACTTCATGTCTTCTTTTTAAGAAATTATTATCATTATTAACCCCCTAAGTACAATTAGTGCTAACCATATGCTCTTGGGTGGGGACCATCCACTGGGGTGCCTACTTGTGGCCACATCACCAAAGAAAAGTGACTTTACTCTCCTTCCCTTAGCATCCATCAACTGCCAATAGCTCCTTTGTTAGGGATGGTATTATTGGGGCTTCCCTCCCATCCATGCCAGGATTTTGACTGTCTTGATCTCATTCTGATGTTGGACAGGCAACCACAGCTGCAGTGGTTGATGTGTGCAACAGCCATGTCATGTCCAGACAGCAGCATTTCTTCCTCTCCATCTGCCAGCTCTTACATTCTTTCCATGCCCTCTTCTGGGATGGTCCTTGGGCTTTGGATGTGGGGAGTAGGGAGTTGTTTATAGATGACCTCTTTATACCAGAGCACCCACAGTCACTTATTCTCAGCACTTTAATGAGTTATGAGTCTCTGCATTAACCACTACTCACTGCAAAAAAGAAGCTTGTCTGACCAAGGTTGATAGCAGCACAAATCTATAGGCATAAACACAAATATTTAGAAGGCACGTTAACTGCATGACCATTTAGGGAAACCACAGCAGTAAGTTCCCCCTAGGGCTTTTAACAAACTTTGCAGTACCAAACATGAACTCCCTACTGTGGAACAGGCCTCAAATCCAGTCAGAAAGAGGCTGGTTACCCCATAACTATCATGCCACTAGTGGGCACATCTTGCCTGGCAGGTAGGTATTGCAGCATGCAAGGTAAGACCATCGATGTCTTTTCTCCCCCAGCAGCCTGCATAGCTCCTTTCAGCACTATGAAAGCTAGCCAGCAGAGAAAGCTTCCTGGTCATTTTAATACTGATTTCTCCATGGCCTGGAAACATTTGAGTCAGGAGTGGGTGGTGTCTTCAGCAGTAGGGTCATGGCATTTAGTTGTGGTGGGCAACAGAGAGCAGTGGTACTAGCCTGTGTTGTTTGGGGTGCCTCTGGGGCCTCCCTCACTAATAACTTATGCCTGGTTCTGAGATTTTCATTTAACAGTCCACATCTTCAGGGAGCAGCACTGTCTACGCACACAGGGTATATCTTTTCAAATTCTTTTTTAAAACATATTTTAAATTAGCTTGCAAACTAGTGAATTTCTTTTTTATACACCCTTAGTTTTGGCTAACCTACCCACTGCCCCTCCCTGCCTTCATTCCCTCCCCGCCCTTATTTAAACCTTTGACCCAGAGTACTCTCCTCCATGCTTTCACACCACCTGTGTCCTGTTATCTCTGATTCTACGTGTTTACTTGGATTGCGAGATCATAGGTTTCCATACAGGTTTTGCACACACCGTTTGATTAAGCATTCCCTTTCCCTTTGTTTTCCTTCCACATTTGAACTTTCTGCCCTGTGTTCCCCATTTCTACTTTCATTTTGACCCATATTTTACTATTTTCCTCTCCCTTAATGCTTTCCGTCTTCAGTGGCTGACTTCGCATTACCTGGTTTGCACATAGACTCTAAGTTAAGCATACAAAATATTTGACACTAGGATCCACATATGAGAGAGATCTTGTGGGGTTTGTCTTTCTGGGTCTTGATGGCCTCACTTAGTATTATTTTTTCCAGTTCCATCCATTTACCTGCAAATTTCATGATTTTGTTTTTCTTTACAGCTGAGTAATATTCCATTGTGTATAAATACTACATTTTCCTTATCCATCCATCAATTGATGGACATCTTGGTTGATTCAGTTTCCTGACTATTGTGACTAGAGCAGCAATGAACATGGATATGCAAGTATCTCTGTAGTGGGATGTAAAGCCCTTTGGGAATATACCCAGGAGTGGGATAGCTGGATTATATGGCAATTCTATTCCTAGTTTTCTTGTGGTTTTGTTTTTTAAATATGGAACACTTCATGAGTTTGTGGGCCATCCTTGCACAGGGGTCATGCTGCTCTTCTCTGTATTGTTCCAATTTTAGTATATGTGCTGCTGAAGTGAGCACCCTAGATTTCTAAAGATATTTTTATTTTGTGTGTTTGCCTACATGAATGTATGTGCAGTACATGCACACCTGGTGCCAGAAGAGAGCATTAGAACCCTTAGATTTGCAGTTAAAGATGGTTGTGAGGTACCATGTGGGTGATGGGAACCAAACCTGAGTTCTGTGCAAGAGCAGCAAGTGCCCTTAATTACCGAGCCATCTGTCTAGCCCTAGGTTTTTTTTTTTTTTTTTTTTTGAGATACTTCCAGACTGATTGCCAAAGAGGCTACACTAGTTTTATGCCCCCACCTATAGTGTACAAGTGCTGTCCTTGCCCACATCCATGCCAGCATTTGTTGTCATTTGTATTCTTGATCATGGCATTTCTGAAGATTTAATTCTTTATATAAAAATAAGAACATCCATCCCATTAGTATGAAAATTTACTTTTGTCTTTAATAAGTGGTAAATATATATGCAAAGTAATTGCTTTAAAATAAATTTCTCTATGATTTTTTCAGTAAATGTTTGATTTATATACTTTTTATATACTTATTACCTGGTATCATGTGAAAATTGTTTAGGCAAAGAACTGGAGAAAGTTTAAGAAGTCCTGCTCTGGGGAAAGTGTCTTTTCAGCTTTTAGAGGATGTGTGCATTGCTTGGTGTGGTGTCTCTTTCTCTGTCTTGATCTTCTTACATCTCAGTCTCTGAGTAGATCACTGTCTCTGTGGTCTTATCTCTTTCTCTGAGTCTGAACTTCTCCCCCCACCTTGTATGGATTCATGAGATTAGATTGGGCCTGACTAATCCAGGATAGTCTTTCCCTTGTTAAGATCTTTCACTGAATTACTTGTATCAAATCCATTTGAGTATGAAAAGCAACATATTCATAGGATTCATAGGATTTAGGGGTTGGGGTGCATAACTCCGGTAGGGCCCATAACTCTACCAACTATAAGTAGGAGGGCTGGAAGTTAGGGTACATAGTGGAGAAAATACTAGTAAAAGATTAGATTTGGATAGAACTTAAAAACCATACTAATAACCTTGAGATTTAATCTATAAAGCACTTTTTATTCTTTAAAAAGATTAAAAGATTAAGACGACTTCTCATTGCAGTGCACATACATTCAGAGGCCAAATACAATTAACTGATGGTGACAGGCCCTCTGACGTTTATCCAGGGAGCCCTAGACCTAAAGAGGGAGATAATGTGGAGGAGAGTGGCATAACTGCATTAATTTCAGAAATAGATACAGCTCCATGATGGAGTTGTACCAGAGCAATGCAGGTGAGGTCCTGAATGTTTAAAGCATCGTTGACATCACCAATGTGTCACAGACTGACAATTATTCCAAAAAGTAAAAAGAGTATCACATTTCAAATTTATCAAGGTAAATTGAGATAATTTAAACACATGGAAAAATATGCCCAGTGGAGCTGTAGATATGGCTCAGTGTTTAAAAGCACTGGCTACTTTTGCAGAGGACCTGGGTTCAGTTCCCAGCACCTACGTGACAGCTAACAACCATCTGTAACTCCAGTTCCAGGGGATCCAATGCCCCTCTTCTGACCTCTGTGGGCATTGCATGACATGGGTGCACTTACACACATGCAAGCAAAACACTCATACACATAAAATAAAAATAATAAATCAAAAAAAATTTTTGAAGAAAAATAGGCCCAAGAACTTTGGAAAATAGGCCCAATGCACTCACACCTAATTCAGTGATAGATGCAGCCCTACTCACCTATCTTCTGGCTACCTGCTCTGTGTGTGTGTGTGTGTGTGTGTGTGTGTGTGTGTGTGTGTGTGAAAGACAGAGAACTCCTAACTGTCCCGGCTACTTTGGCTCTCAGTGCTGATGCTGCATGCTTTAATTGCCATCCATACATCCATCCATACATCCATACATTCATACATGCATCAATCCTCCCATCTGTCCATCTGGACCTGGCTCTGCTCTTCACCTCCTTGGCCTCCATAGTCCCACGCCTCACTTCTACAATTCAACTCAACCCTGAGGCTCAACTTAAACTGTGACCAGGAGGCTTGACAGTGCCCCCCAGCAGATCTTCAGTGGAGTTCATTATCTAATTCCCTCAATTCTCTTTGATTCTGAAATCAACTTTCTGCTTATCTCCTGTCAGAACTCTTTGAACTCTTTGAACCCTGCTGCAGCCTCTTTAACCTTGTAGCCATTCTGCAACCTACATATATACATGTATAGAGATAGATTTAATGTATGATGTATGTGTGAGCTGAGAGTTTATGGAAGAATGGAATAAAAGAGCCTGTTTGTTAACTGCCAGCTCTCAAGGGAAGTCATACCTATATGGCAGATTGCAGCCAATGAAACCAAAGTACTTTGTGCGTGTGTGTGTGTGTGCGCGCGCGCGTGTGTGCGTGTGTGCGTGTGCATGTGTGCGTGTGTGTGTGTGTGTGTGTGTGTGTGTGTGTGATGTATCTCCTGGTTGAACATGACCATCACCATCCTGAAGCAGAGCAACTGTGACTACCTGTACAAGACTCTCACAAAATTGGGCCCACAAATGTTCACTCATGGAGAGAAGGAGGTAACTCCTGAGGCCCTGAGACCCTCACAAGATGGGGCCTATTAACATTCCCTCAGAGAGGGAGGAATGGCTCACAGGGCTCACACATCTCACATGGCTCTAGATGTGCAAAAGCCTTCTTGAGACCCACACAAGGGCCCTTCTCCACCTAAGGCTCAAGAAGAGGGAAGCAATTAACTGGGGTAGATTCTTCTTTGGAATGTACTACCTGTAAGTTGGGTGGGGGAACTTTCTGACTTTGTGTCTCCTAAGGGCCTGTAAGTAACTACAGTAAACTTATTGGTTCATTAATGTGGGGCTTGGATGGAATCCTTTCTTTGGTCTATTTGTACCTTTTCTATCTAGAGTGACTAGCCATTTCCCTAGGGGAAAAACAATACACAATAGTATAGTTCATTATTCAAGTCAAACTGTTCCCTGTACCCTACTTAGCCAATAGGTACACACTGGCATTTTATGAGTGCTAATGAGACGAGAAGTTTAAATGGAAGCTTTAGCAAAGCTGTAGGAGAAACAGATAAAACTGTTACCCAAAGAAAATACGAATAGTCCCTTGTTTACTGGGGGTGGGGGGGGCAGGGGAGGTTTAGGTGTTTATCAGAGCTGTGCTTTCACTTCCCGAGGCAATTCTCTTGCCCACTTGTCAGGGTGCTGAGCTCTAATTCTTTCCCTGTGGAGGCTGGCTCTGTGCTACCTTCCAGGGAAGGATACTAGCCCAGCTAAATAGCATGCCAGAAGTTAAGATGGGGATAAATGGGTAGAAGTAGTGAAGAGGAGAATTCCGGTTTAAATGGATTTAAGCAATAACCCATGAAATTGGGATATCTAACTCTTGAGTTGTGTACAGTTTGCTGTACACTGTTGTGGTTTTTAGGCTTTAAAGCTGGGGTTGGACCATAGATTGATGTTCTCCCTTAGTAGCTTGCGTAGTGTCTTCCAAAACTGTGAGAGCTAGCCTCCAGGGTGGCGGCATCCAGGTCAGTTCCAGCTCCATTGCTCCAAGTCCTGTATCTGAAGTATGTCCTATCTTAAGCAATAAAGTTCTGGAAGGTCATCAAGGGCTGTGGCAATAGCCTGTGTAATTTTGGGAGTCTCTTGGACTACCCTGACCAACAACTCAAAGGGAGGTTTCTCCTGTCTGGCATTGTTTCTTGTTATATAGCCTTCTGGTATACACATGCACTCATGTACAGATATTTTATGTGCAATTTTTCAGTAGGCTTTTTAACTAATACATCTCCCTCTGGTTTTTCACACCAGCTAAGCATCATTTATCTCTCCTCTCTCCCTGTCTGTCCCTCCCTTTTCCCTCCCCAGTTAAAGTATACCCACTTCACACACAGTAAACTATATTGGTGTAGTAGTGGCACTTTTATCTTGGGGGTAATCAACAGTTACCTAATTGGATTTAAAGCCTACTCAATAGGAGGGAGCTCAATGTGTGGCACTGTAAACATAGCCAAATACACATGGCTGGAGGGGTCATAGATTCTAGAGAAAATCCTGTCATGTCCTAGACAAATATAATTTCTTAGTATATACTAAATGTGGAGCCTTATATTTACAGACAAGTATGCCAATCACCACTCATCAAAGAAGCTTCTTTTGCAACAGATGGAGACTATTACAGAGCTCTACAACTGGTCACAGAATAAGTGTCTGTGAGATGCCCAACCCTAAATGACACATCTACAATTTAACCTCTATACCTAAGGCTCACAGAATATGGAGGAACAAGGGGTAGAGAGATACTAATGCATCTCTCAACTCTCATGAGTGAAGCTTCCTCTTGCAACAGACATAAATGGCTAAATTGTAGAGAATAAGAATCTACAGAGTATGGGTCCCTGAATAGGACTCCTATATCAAACTCTACCCACCCAGGGCTAAGGGACTGTTATGGAAGAGGGGACAGAAAGATTGTAAGAGCCAGGGGAGGAGGTGCATGACCATAAGGAAACAGAGTCTTACAGGCTCCTGGGACCCTGCTCATATGAATCTACAGCAATGGTGTCAGCAGGCACATGACCCATGCAAATTCAATCAGACAAAAACCCAGCATAGACTTGGGGAAATGGATAGCAGGCCCCAACCCTAGCCAAAGAATTGTTGGCAGCTGATTACTGTTGGGTGAAGAAGAGTTGATCTTTAAGGGAAAGACTAAATAGGCTGACTAGACCTCAGTGGATGAACTTGCACTGTGGGACTTCTGGGCACACTAACTTGACTTGACAGGCCTTAACATATATGACAGAATATATGAAATCCAGTGGGGGGTGGCTTATAAAGGGGTGCAGATAGGGAGAGGGTATAAAGATGATTAAGATGTTTTGTGTGAAGTGCACAAAAATTCAATAAAAATATACAATAAGAAAAAGAGTAAGACCAATATTCAGTACATGAAATACAAACCTGAATTTATTGTAGATGGGAACACTGTG